CACAATGCCTGGCTATTTTTGTTGTTGTTGCAGTTGTCACTGTTTAGCTGGCCCAAGCCAGGTTTGAACCTGCCAACCTCGGTGCATGTGGCCAGCACTATAACCACTATGCTATAGGCGCTGGGCCAAAACATCAGAGCATTTTAAAAAGTGAAAAACAGCTAATGATATGTTCTATCTTATAGCCAGGACTCACACTTGTCTTCTGTAACTTCCAGCTTAGCCCCGGGGGCCTAGAGCTGGGAAAGAACGGCTGCGGTAAACCGATGCTGTGCATGGACTCATCCTCAGCCTTCCATGCTGCAGAAACTATGCAGACACCTGCTTTCTAACCAGCAAGACAGAACAATCCTGATGGTGTCACTCCCCAAACCCAGGGAACAGGCCAGGGCACCAGCATTGGTTAGCAGATGTTCATTACAGGATGGCTTCAAGGACATGTGGTCAGCAGCGAGCCCAGAGATGTCTAGACTTAAAGAAGCCCCCTGCCAGCTGGGTGCTATTCTTCCATGCAAATCTGTAACACATAGGAGTGATGTAGAACAAACAGAAATAAATTAAGGGTTTAAAAATTAACTTCAATTTCCACACTCCTACAAGGTATAAAAATTTGCCTATTCTTAAGGCTTACTCCTGGATTTATAAACAATACAACCCTATGGCTCAGTGCCCAGAGCTCAGTGGTCAGGGCACTAGCCACATACACTGGGGTGTTCAAACCCAGCCAGGGTCTGCTAAACAATGACAACTACAACAAAAAATAGGCAGGCGTGGCTTAGTGCCCGTAGCTCAGTGGGTAGTGCACCACATACAAGGCTGGTGAGTTCGAACCCAACCCGGCCCTGCTAAACGACAACTGCAATCAAAAAATAGCCTGGCATTGTGGTAGACACCTGTAGTCCCAGCTACTGGGAGGCTGGGGCAAGAGAATTGCTTAAGCCCAGGAGTTTGAAGTTGCTGTGAGCTGTAATGCCACAGCACTCTACCAAGGGCTACATAGTGACTCTTGTTTAAAAAAAAAACAAAAAAACAACAACAATACGACCCTAGCCTTTACCCTGGTGCAGAATACCGTAAAAACATCCGTTCCAATTCAGAAAATATTCAGTTTCCAAAGAGTATGAATATTTAATCCTCTAACCAGCAAGACAGAACAATCCTGATGGTGTCACTCCCCAAACCCAGGGAGCACCAGGCCAGGGTGCTAAACTGTTCACTTTATCCATACAGTTTAAAAAAAAAAAAAAAAAGGTAGGGCATTTCTGGAATTATTTAGTATTAGGGAATCCCACCAATAGTACATACTAGACCAAGGTGCTAAAGTCCCTGTACAAGCCCCACCCCAGGCCAAGCCAGTCCTCAAGAGCACAAAGAGGAAGGGTCTCAGCACCATCCACCCACCAGTAGAACCTGGTGGCCACAGTGCTCCTAGGGACAACACTGAATACCAATTCAGAGATGTGAGAGGCTGTGGACCCTCTGCTTAGAGTACTGTAGGACTTCAGAAAGGAAATTAGTGAGAACTAGAATAAAGACATTCCACGGTATGGATTCAAGTTCACCATGGAACACAACTCCAGGACAAACCAACTCCAGGACAAGCATAAGCCTATGAATCACCTGTTCTAAACAGGTCTCCCAGGGGGAGGGGAGAGTAGATTGATAACACTTTTTATTTCATCTTCCACGCATAAATATTTTAATCACATCTTAGAGACTCTTCCATTTCAGTACAACTGCTTATTCTTTTCAACAGACACATAGAATTCCAGAGTAAAGGGTAAGTACTTAAGTAGTGCCCAATGGGTGGAATTTTTTTTTTTTTTTTTTTTTTGAGACAGACCCTCAAGCTGTTGCCCTGGGTAGAGTGTCGCAGCATTACAGCTCATAGCAACCTCCAACTCCTGGGCTTAAGCGATTCTCTTGCCTCAGCCTCTCAAGTAGCTGGGACTATAGGCACCCGCCATAACGCCTGGCAATTTTTTGGTTGGAGTTGTCATTGTTGTTTGGTAGGCCCGGGCTGGATTCAAACCCACCAGTTCTAGTGTATGTGGCTGGTGCCTTAGCTGCTTGAACGACAGGTGCCAAGCCAATGGGTAGATGTTAAACTATTTTTAGTCTTTTGCTACTAAATATAATGTTCCTAGGCCAGGTGCAGTGGCTCACACCTATAATCTTAGCACTTTGAGATGCTGAGGCAGAATTGCTTGAAGCCAGGAGTGTGAGACCTTGTCTCTAAAAACATAAAAGTATTAGCTGGGTGTGGTGGCAGGTACCTGCAGTCCCAGCTACCTGGAAGGCTGAAGCAGGATGATCGCTTAGCCCAGGAGTTTGAGGTTGCAGTGAGCTGTGATGATGCTACTGCTCTCCATTGTAGGTGACAGAGCAAGACCCTGTCTCAGAAATAATAATAATGATGATAATACTGCTCCTAATTGCTAAAGAGTTATCTATTATATGTGATCCTTCAGAGAAAAGGAAGGCATAGGGGAAAATATGCATGTTTCCATTCATTTGTGCAAAAGAAATAGGAATGAAAACCCCCAAATTAACAAGACTGTATTAACTCCCCAGGGCTGCTTGTAAGAAAGAAAATAAGCAAGTTGGCTCAGCACCTACAGCTCATTGGCTAGGGCACCAGCCACATATACCAGGGATAGCAGGTTTGAACCCAGCCTGGGCCTGCTAAACAACTACAATAAAAAAATTGGGAGGGTGAGGCAAGAGAAGCACTTACACCCAAGAGTTTGAGGTTGCTGTGAGCTGTGATGCCACTGTATTCTACTGAGGGTGACATAGTAAGACTGTCTCAAAAAAAAAAAAAAAAAGAAAAGAAAAAGAAAACAAGAAAGTTACTCTTCCATGGTTTTGGCGGCCAGAGCTCCCAAATCCAGGTGTGGGCAGGGTTGGTTCCTTCTGGAGGCTCGGGAAGACAGACTCCTGCCTCTCCCAGCTTCTCCACAACAATCCTTGGTGTTCCTGGGTGTGCAGATGCATCACTCCAACCTTTGCCTCTATTATCACATGGCTTTCCCTTCATGCATGTCTTGGTTGTAGCAAAATTTCCCTCTTGTTATCCAGATACCAGTTATACTGGATTTAGGGCCCAGGGCCCACCCTACTCTAGCATGACCTCATCTTAACATTATTACATCTGCAGTGACCCAAGTATCATCATGGTCATATGTACCAGGGGTTAAGACTTTTTAGGGCACATGATTCAAATCACAACAGATGTTGTCTACAGATGTATATTAAGTTTTCTGTAGCTGCCACAAAAAAAGTATCACAGACTGGATGGCTTAAACAGAAATTTATTATCTCACAATTCTGGAAGGCAGAAATCCAAAATCCAGGTGTTGAGGCAATGGTTCCTCCTGAGGTTGTGAGGGAAGGTCTGTTCCAGCCCCTCTCCAGCTTCTGTGGTCTTGAGTGTTGCTTGGTTTGTGTATCTTCACAACATGAGATCTTCCCTCTTTCCTCCATAGGAGTCTGAGGGAGTCTTTTTTTTTTTTTTTTTGAGACAGAGCCTCAAGCTGTCACCCTGGGTAGAGTGCCATGGCATCACAGCTCACAGCAACCTTCTACTCCTGGGCTCAAGTGATTCTCCTGCCTCTGCCTCCCAAGTAGCTGGGACTATAGGTGCCCACCATAACACCCAGCTATTTTTTGGCTGCAGCCGTCATTGTTGTTTGGCAGGAGTGGGCTGGATTTGAACCTGCCAGCTCAGGTGTATGTGGCTGGTGCCTCAGCCACTTGAGCCGCAGGCGCTAAACCAAATTTCCCCATTTATAAGGAATTTCCCCATCTTAACTTAATCATCTGCAAAGACCTCATTTCCACACAAGGTCACTGGAGTTGGGACTTCACCTTTTGAGGGGACACATTTCAACCCTTCACAGGTATGTGTGAACAGACTGGAAATTATAGGGAAATGGGATAGGGCAGCAGAGCTGAGTGGAACACATTTCTGAGTATATCTTTTTGTGTATCTCTGACACCCAGAACCATGCTAATGT